TATAGCCTCAAAGCTATTAGATTTAAGAAGAAACTTTTGGTACCTCTGTAAAGGTAAGATGTCATAGAATGGTTTTCTGGTGTCAGCACCATTGTAGCTTTGACCCTGCCTGAAATATTAGGGACAAAATACAAAATATTTTGCTTTTTTTGAACCTCGCCAAAATTTTCTTTTAAATAAACATTGCAAAACACTACCAAAATATTATTTATAGCACAAAAAAGTAGTACAGACTTTCAAATCTAAATGTTGTGTAAAAATATACCAAATTTGGTATCAATCAGATGAATCATATTTATTTTAGAATGGTATTAGTGAGAAATTTCTTAGGCGGAGAGGCCATTTTGGCACATTTATCCATAAATGTCACCAAACTGTGCCAAATATGTTTTTTACATCAATACGGGGGGTTTGGTAAAACTATGAGGTCATGTAGCAGCTGGACCCGCAGGGTTCAAGGGGTTAGTTAAGGCATCAGAGCTACAGTAGCAGTTTACAAACTTTATATTAATGGTCAGTTGTTCAGGGATCAGAAGATCACTCCTTGGCTTTATTAGATGCACAACAGTTGGATTTAAAACATGTGACACTTGATAAAAATGTATAGAACGGATCATGGTGATAAATCAAATATATGCACAGCTCAAGAGCACGTTGGCACGGTATGGCTGTTAGTCACAGCTGGGTACAGGAAGCATGGGCTGGGGTTCTTCTTCTTTCACCTTTTCTTACTGTTTGCACTTTCTTAATTCTCTGTCTTCCTTTATCTTCCTCGTCTGCTTCTTCCCTGTGATCCACACAATTACAAGCACACGGTTTCATGCTACCTGGGTCTAGGTATAACTATTTATTCAGAGGCATGTACTTTTCATCTTCCCATTCACACCTATGGTGAATGTAAGGTTTGTGACTTAGAAAGTGCATGGAGCTGGCACCAGAGAGAAACAGTTTAAGATTTTTCACTGTCTTAAAAGATTAAATGCAGATGTTGTCTTATTGCAAGAAACCCATAAATATGTGACCACTGTAAGTGATCCTAACTCCCCTGAGTTCCCTGATGTGTTTGCGGCCTGTTATAACTCTAGACAGAGAGGAGTAGCAATTTTAATCCACAAAAACGTCAGTTTTACTTTATTAGACAAAATTATTGATCCTGAAGGCAGATTCATCATGATTAAAATATCTATTCATAACCAAACGTTATGTATTGTCGGCATATATCGTCCAAATGCTGACGACCCCTCAATCTTCCACAAACTTTTTCATGCACTTTCAAAGCAAGAGGACTGTTCTCTAATTATTGGGGGTGACCTCAATTTTGGTCTAAATGGAGAAATAGACAGGTTGAATACAACAGAGACTCAGCGCAGTTGGCAATCATTAAATGTAGTCAAACAATACATGAGTGATTGTGGTCTTTGAGATGCATGGGAATCTCTTCATCCTAACAGTAAGGAATACACTTTCTTTTCTGATGTCCATCGTTCCTACTCTCATTTCGACTATTTCCTAATCAGCAGCTCACTGCTGTTTGACATCTCGGATGCTGCAATTCATCCTATAAATTTGCAATATGGACATAATATTAACATGAATAAATTCTTAGAATATGAGCCAATTAAAGCTATAATTAGAAATAAATTTAAGCATATTGATGCAGGTTTACAAATTCCAACTAATATACAGTGGGGGAAATAAGTATTTGACCCCTTGCTGATTTTGCAGGCTTGCCCACTTACAAAGAATGCAACGATCTATAATTTTAATCATATGTACATTGTAACAGTGACAGACAGAATCCCAAAGAAAATTCCAGAAATTTACATCATATAAATTTATGAAAATTGATAACCATCTGATGAGGAAAAACAAGTATATGACCCCCTACCAAACAGCAACTATTCTGGCTCCTACAAGCCAGTTAGTCTTTCTTTAAGACACAGCCCCAATCCCAACCAATTATCTACATCAAATACACCTGCCTCACCTCATTACCTGTATAAAAGACACCTGTCAACACCCAAACAACCAGCATCCAACATCACCACCATGGGCAAGACCAAAGAGCTTTCTACGGACACCAGGGACAAGATCGTTGATCTGCACAAGGCTGGGATGGGCTACAAGAGAATCGGAAAGCAACTTGGAGAGAAAAGATCAACTGTCGGTGCAGTTATCAGGAAATGGAAGAAACACCACACCACCGCCAACCTCCCTAGGTCTGGGCCTCCACACGAGATCTCGCCTTGTGGGGTGTCTCTGATCATGCGAACGGTGAGGAATCATCCCAAAACCACAAGGGGGGAACTAATGAATCAACTGAAGGCAGCTGGGACCACAGTTACAAAAGAAATGGTTGGTAACACACTACGTGGTCATGGATTGAAATCCTGCAGCGCATGCAAGGTCCCCCTGTACAGGCCCGCATGAAGTTTGCCATTCACCACCTGGACGACTTAGAAGAGGCCTGGAAGAAGGTGATGTGGTCAGATTAGACCGAAATAGAACTTTTTGGCCTCAACTCGTCGTGTTTGGAGGGCAAAGAACACCGAGTACAACACAAAGAACACCATCCCCACCGTCAAGCATGGTGGTGGCAACATCATGCTTTGGGGGTGCTTTTCAGCCAAGGCGACGGGACAACTCTGTCGTATTGAGGGGAGGATGGACGGGGCCATGAATCGTGGAATTCTGGACAGACATTTCCTTCCCTCAGTGAGAGCTGAAGATGGGTTGAGGATGGGTGTTTCAGCACGACAACGACCCTAAGCACACCGCCAAAGCAACAAAAGAGTGGCTGAAAAAGAAGCACATCAAGGTTCTGGAGTGGCCTAGCCAATCTCCAGACCTGAATCGAATTGAAAATCTTTGGAGGGAGCTTAAAATTCGAGTTGCCAGGCGACAACCTCGGAATTTGTCCAGGGGGTCAAATATTATAGTCCAGGGGGTCAAATAGTTTTTCCTCATCAGATGGTTATCAATTTTGATAAATTCATATGATGTGATTTTCTGGAATTTTCTTTGGGATTCTGTCTTTCACTGTTAAAATGTACATATGATTAAAATTATAGATCGTTGCATTCTTTGTAAGTGGGCAAACCTGCTAAATCAGCAAGGGGTCAAATACTTATTTCCACCACTGTATCAGAATTCCTAGAGTTAAACCCCCCAAACTACTTTCTAAATTATACAGGACACTGACTAAACTGGAGGATACAATATCAGTCATCTTGATAATTATATTCATTATATTCATGTCATGGTTATGCACGCCGGTTCAGCGGTTCTGGGTACAGGTATGTAAGGACTTATCACTGTGCCTGTGTTGTAAAATCTCATTTTCCCCTTCAATTTGCTTGCTGGGTGGCTTTAAGGGAACCTCTCTGGGGAAAAAATCTGTTTGCATGGCCTTCACTGCATTATGTATCGCAAAGAAAACTATCTTAATGAATTGGAAAAGTAAGGATAAACTCAGCATCAATCAGTATAGAGATCTGTTGTTGATTAATCTTGAGACAGCATCTGCATACCCATCACTTCCATACAGAGAGCCCATATTCTTGTCTTCAGGTAACACAGAGTACATGTCAGATTAAATAATACTACTTCAGCGATAGTATCTAGGTGTTACTTTATTGTATGTCTAGTACCATATCCGTTGGTTGTGCTGTTCTTTTTACATCTCATTGCAGATGATGAAGTCGATGAAAATGTTTTATCATTATCTCCCTTTTATTACCTCTTTCCTTCATTTTTTCTACTTTTTTCTGTTTTTCCTTTCCTGTCCTACATTGCTGCTCCTCTTGTGAAAGTAAAATCTGTTGGGCTCTTTCAAAGATACTTGAAAAAAAAAAATAAAAATAAAAAAATAATAAAAAAAAAAATATATATATATATATATATATATATACACTGTGCAGGCTTGTTGTGTTATGCATGTTCAGCTCTGACAGAAATCATGTTGGCTGCCTTAAGGCTGCAGAGGAGCAGTGCCATGATTGGACCAGCAGACGATTGTCAAGCCAATCAGGATGTTGATGAGGCCCACCTGCACCTTATAAAAGGCTCCTGGAAAAGCTTTCAGTTCGGGCAGAACTAGTAGGAAGAAGGTTTTGTTTTGCTGTTCCCCCAACTTTGGTTTCAAACTGTTTTGGGCAATTAGAGCTCTTTGACCTAGCTTGTATATTTTTTATGAATCTGCTTTAGGTGGACTTGTTCAAGCTAGACGCTTGTGTTTGGGAGGATTGGTGCTCCCTTTGTCTTTTCTTTTGGGTTGTTTTGTGTTAAACTTAGTCTGACTGGTTTGGACAGTTTGTAATCTAATTTGCTCTTAACCATTCTTGAATGTTTTTGCCCCTTTCTTTTGTTTTAATTGGGTTAAGCTGTAATTTGTTTTGTGTCTGTTTAACCATCTTTTGTAATAAATCCTTTTACATTCCACTTATTTGCTCTGGACACATTTTTATGTTACTTCCCCAGAACCCCTAGACCTTGGGGTGTAACAGTTATAAACAAACAGACAAAAAAATTTTTTAACTATTACAATAATAAAATATTTGCAATTAATATCAACTTTAACCGTACACAAACACACTACAAAGCAAAATAACTTCCACAAGCAACCTGACAATACTTGTTTCATAGACTCCATTTCTACATACACAAACTTGGGAAACTTTGAAGTGTGTGCCATAATCTTAAACAAAATAAAACATACTTTCACAATTAAACATAATCAAAACTCAAGTAAATACAAACGTATGAGGAACATATGGTAATGTTTAAAATGGAAAACACTGAAGACACTCTCCTCAATGATAAACTATTTAGACCAAAAGAAATCAATAAACGTTAAAACTCTGGGGGAAAAACGAAAGCTTCAAAAACACAGGGTTTATCAGCAATGAACCACAAACGCAAACGTTTATGCAAAATAAATAAATGAAATCAATAAATTAATCACTTCACTTCCTCTTCAGGAACCTCTCCAACATGGAACATAATTCCCCGTCTGATACTGTTTCAGGCAAAAAAAAAAAGACAGAGGTTGTACTCTGTGTTCTTTGCCCTCCAAAAGAACTTAAAACTTAAAGTAAATAAACACAGCTTCATCAAACCTGTTTGGTTTATTTAAAGCTATATAAATATTATTTTTTTTTAGGAACAACAGCATAATGTCCACTTTGGTGTCTTTCACTCTGTGCTGTTACAAAGTCCCGTACAGAGGAAAACACCATCTTACTGGGAACAGATGTGGCTGGGATCCCCAGAAAACGTTTGGCCAACTTGGCTAAGTGGGAAAACTGTTGTTCATTCTCCTTCCATCACACAAGTGGATTAGACTCCACTGGGAGGCTCTGCACAGATTTGTAGTGTTGTACCTCTTCTTCCACCACCTGAGGAAAAGGCTTGGATGATGATGTTGTTGGAAATAGGTCTCTAAATAGTTCCGCGATCTGTGCTTTTTTGGCTCGAGGAGGACCATCACTGGCACTGCTGCTGGAGGCAATCTCCTTATCTGTCTCCTCCCTGGAAGTCTGGGCCTGAAACAAAATTCAAAACACAATATTAGATCAAATGAATATATATTTAAAGTATTTTATGAAACATCAAATCTAGGTACATTTACAGTGTAAGCATGGTCAGTTTAATAAAATAAAACATTTTTTCATATGAATATGTACAAATGCTGACTTTAGCCTATTTAAATGGGCTTAGATTATTTAAAAGGACTTTTGAACCACACAATTTAATTTTAAATTTTATATTGATATTAACAGTGAAATACCTGAACAGGATGTGAACAGTTATCCAGAATCCCCTCAGTCAGACTCCTGAAAACTGCGGCATTGGTGGCCTCATCCAGAAACGGTAGGGATTTGAACCGGGGGTCAAGTGCAGTGCTTACATGGAGAAACTCGATCAGAGCCCGATCAGCATCAGAGTAGGGATCTTCAAAATCAGTGGCAATGGCAGATTTAGTTTCTTTAACTGTTTCTGACTCAGAGCTGCTGTGCTTCATGGAGGCCAGGATTCTGTGTTTCAATGGCATGACCATTGAAATTGTTGGCATCTGATCAGTGCTCATGAGGAGAGTGACTGTTTTGAGGGGTTTCAGCAGCTGGACCACATCCCCGCCAAGTTTAACATCAATATCAGACAAAGTGACAATGTCTTTTATGTTTTTCTTCACACTCTTGTCTGTGAGTGCTGAGAAAACAGCCTGCTGCTCTAGGTAGCGCTCAAGCATATCATGGCTCTGGTTCCATCTTGTAGCCACATCCTGGACAAGCTTGTGTGAGGGCAGCTGCAGCATTTTCTGCTTATCCTTCAATACAGCTGCAGCTGCTGCGCTCCGGTGGAAAAATGTTACTATTTTCCTGACTCTATCAAGGAGTCGTGACATCTGGTTAACTCCCATTCCTTTCTGCGCTGCCAGATTTATGGTGCGGGCGCAGCATCGAATATGCGGGGAGAGTCTGGCTGCTATGACCGCATTTGCAATGTTCCTTGCGTTGTCAGTTGTTACGGGAACGGGGGCGTATGGTCTGCTGATTCTCCATTCTGCCACAGCGCCTTTCAGGATTTCAGATAAATTGTCACTTGTATGGCTGTCAAACGTTGTTTGTTTTTGAAGCACATTCTGAGAGAAATGTGCCCGACTAGGCGCTTCATAATGAGGCTCGAGCACATGAAGTAAAATTCTGAATCCCTCATTCTCGGCCACCGAAAAGGGCCGCATATCCAGAGCTATAAACGTTCAAATTGCCCTGGTTATCTTCTGTGCACGGTCCAAATTTGGTGGAAACTTTGTTTGAAACAAATTTGTCAGAGTAGTCTTGTTGGCGTTTCTTGGCTCCACTTAAGTTAATTTCAGGATGGTTCCGTCTGATGTGCGTTTGCATATTTGTTGTGTTGCCCGTCACTTGAGGAATCTTTCTAAAACACTTATGGCAAATGGTGTGCTTCTTGTCAACAACACGATTTCCATCCTTAGTTTCAACCGGGTAGCCAAAATACTGCCATACTGCTGACTTAAATGTGGTTGGAGGCAGGCATGGACTGGTAATTGGGCGTACCGGGCATTGTTCCGATCATCCGGCCCTTACCACAGGCTACTGCAGCCCATTGGTTATCATCCCTGACAGTCTAAAGGGCTAGGCCAATCATAAGGTAGAAAAACACCTTAACTCTCCATTGTAACTTTGTGCGGCGGGGTTCACAGTAGTAATGGATCAACGCAAGGGAGGCGCAGAGAAACTGCGCGAAAAAAAGAAATTAGTTCTTCAAACGGACGCTGCGAAATGTGTCAAACTGACTGACATGTTTCCAACAGCAGGCCCTTCATCTGCTCCAGTGTCTGATGTAAAATATGATGGTGGTGGTGGTTGTAGTGGAGGCGACGGCGAACCGAGCAGTGAGCATGTCAGTGCGGCTGCTGCTGCAGCAGTAGAACCTACGGTAAGCCGGACAGTTTTCAGAGCCCCAAACTATGTAATGCAGACATCCCAAGTCTCCGGGAACCTCCCTGATATCAATAGTTGTTCACGGATGCCTGCGAGTCAGATAAATTATCCTGGATTTTAGACTTTGTGAGGTGGTGTTTTTTTAACGCGAGTGAGAGCGAGTGGGCAATGCAATGATTCATGCATCATGTGTGGATTAGAACTACTGCGATTGCCCAGGAACAAGAGAGGGCGGGGTGTGGGGAGGAGGTTGCTGTGAAACCTGTGCAGTGTATCTGTCCAAAGCGATGCTCTGATCAACCAGCGTTCCAGGCGACTGGTTGAACAGAGAGATGATTGGATCAGTCTAAGTTTCTCTGGGTTACTCTCTGGCAGTCACCTAGTTACCACTCAAAGCTGTGCATCCTGGGAAATGGCAGAGGTTCAATCCTCGAGTAAAACATGAAAATATCAGACTAATTTTACAGCAGAATATACTAAAGTATATCCTCGTCAAGTTAAGGGGAGGAACCGTGGCGGATCTAGACCAAATGTACCAGGGGGCCAGGAGGGGGCCAGCATGTTTTCATGGGGGCCCAGAAAAGCATGAAATAAAAAAACAGGGCAAGGGATTCAAATATGTTAATATAGCTGCATGAAGGAAAATTTCTTTTCAATGAGATTCAATAAAAATTCTATTTCTTATGAGGTAAATATACATTTAAAATTTAGGAATTTTACATATTTTTTTTACTTAAGTTGAAACTAAATTTCTAAAAATTTGAATTTGAACTCAAGAAGAGATGTTAAATTCATCTGTAAAAATTAGAGCATTTTTTATTTGTGGAAAAAAAAACATTTGACAGATGAAAATTGGGATCTTATCTCAATCCCACTGAATCTATCACCTTATTGTTTTTGAATAATTAGTAAAACAGAATTTGTAATGAAACAATGAAATGGATCCAAATGACCTATCAGTAATCATGTCTGTTTCAGCGCATATGATCATTAGAATTTCTTTTAAGCATTATGTCTTCTGTACAGGGGCCAGGACATGATCTACAGGGACACTGGCCCCTGTTTGCCCCCGTCTAGAACCGGCCATGGTGAGGAATGATGACACCGTGGCGAAGTGCACTGTATGCTAAAGTCCCATGAAAAACATAAAGCTCAACCGATGTTCAAGGCTACAAGATTGAAAGTATTAAAAATAAAAGACCAATACTGTTCTGTTTAGTGTTTAAGAAATTACTGTTAAACAGTTGTTGAAAAGCTGCTGGCCTTAAGTGTGTATGTATGGGGCACGGTGTGGGTCCGTTGTCCCCGGGGGGCGGGCGGTTGGGGTATAAGTATCTCCCTGAAATTAGTTTTTGGAACTTGGGATGTCTAGTAATTATGATAGGATAGGATAAACCAACCAACCCCTTGATGAATATGATAAAATAACATGACCCCAATAAAAATATGTTGGTTAATGTCCCATGGTAAAGTTAGTTTAGTAAACACAGGTGCTGCTACCCATAAACTTCATGCTAGCACTAGTGGCTGATGATTTTTTTTTTTGTAGCCTACACTGAGTGCATCCTCTCTGACAGGATTTCTAATGGTTCATCATTTTGTCATTGGAATCCTTTTTTACACAATGAGTGCACAGTAGTCCAATGTTATCCTACAGTATCTGGAAGACTGAATAGATCTGATGAGCAACTTACAGTAACTTCTTATGATATAACGTGATAATATGTGTGATTGACTGTCACCTCTCTCGCTTCAATTTCAGGGTTAGCTGAACTTGCCATCTTTCTCCTCACCTCACCCACAGAACGCTACCTGAACCTTTTTTTGCAAGCGTCACTGTCGTCTGTTGACAACCAATTGGATGCTCGGCCGCAGAGACCCTCTGATGGAGCTCCCTGGCTTGTGAAAATTCTTGAATAAACAAAATTTTAGTTTTCTTATTATTTTGGTTTGTTTGCTTTAAGAATGTGATTCCACATTTTTAAATTATGGTGATCTTGTAAGCAATGTACCGTCTACACTAATCCGGTGTGCACAACATAAAGACAAAGGAAGAAATTTTATGTTTGTGTTATTTTCTGTGAATGGAGGAAAAAAAAAAAAAAGCGATGCGGTAATGGATAATAGGGGGATGCGTCTGCTGCAATGGGAGCCATGGAGCGCCCACCGCGATGCTAGAAGGCAGCATAAAATTCCTGCCGCGATGCTAGAAGGCAGCATAAACACCCACAATGATAAGCATGAGGTGCCAACCGCGAAGATGAAAGCGCCATGAGCAAGCCAGCTAACCGCTGATGGCTGAAACACAGAAATGTTTTGAGACGGGGGAACAGGGCGTGGCAGAGCCGGCAATCTTTGCAGCATTGCGTGGATCAACAGGGGTGTCGAAGGATAGGATCGAGCAGCAGCCAGGGCAGAGGATCCGAAGCTCACTTTGAGTTGAAACAGTTTCAAGGAGAATGGCTTTCGAAGAGCTGATCTGGAAAAGTGTAACCCAGGAGCGGTTCTGGGCCCGATGAGCCAGGGACGTCTTCGCTCACTTCGAGTTGAAATGGTGTCATCTTAATGAAGTTACAGCACATACGCCGCCCGCGCACAGGTTCGCATCGGAGGCCCTTTAAGATGAGCTTTGGATGCCGATTGGCTTTCGTGGAGGTGTAGTTCAAAGCCTATTAACTGTGCCGCAGGTGGATGTATGAAAAAACAATTATTTTTTTTCAGTTGAATTTCCGCCTAGGCTCCATATCACTGCAAAGATACTTTAAAATAAAATAAAAACGGTTAATACAAAACCAAATAAAAAAAAAAAATATATATATATATATATATGTTATTGTTGCGGCCCCTGGCATTTTAAGACTGTGCAGGCTTGTTTTCTTACGCAGGTTCAGCTCTGACAAATATCTTCCATGTTGGCTGACTAAAGGCTGCAGAGGAGCAGTGCCATGATTGGACCAGCAGAGGATTGTCAAGCCAATCAGGATGTTGATGAGGCCCACCTGCACCTTATTAAAGGCTCCTGGAAAAGCTTTCAGTTTGGGGACAGCTTGTAGGAAGGTTTTGTTTAACTGTTCCCCCATCTTTGGTTTCAGACTGTTTTGGGCAGTTAGAACTTTTTGACCTAGCTTGTATATTTTTTTTCTTTTCTGAATCTGCTTTAGGTGGACTTCAAGCTAGAAGCTTGTGTTTGGGAGGTTTGGTGCTCCTTTTGGGTTGTTTTGTGTTAAACTTAGCCTGACTGGTTTGGACAGTTTGTAATCTAATTTGCTTTAGTTTTCCACTAAGGAGGTTGGCACAGACGTTCCAAACCCTTCACCCCCTTACAAGGCACGAATCTTGGAATGTATGGACGAGACACCTGGCTTTGCACTGGAGGCAACAGTATTGACCTCTCAAAAAACTGATATGTACACTTAATCAATTCTGCAAGACGTGGCATTCCTTCTGAGTCACTCAGGTGTACCTGCACAGAAAAATGAACAGAAATTAAACATATTTAAAATGCGCTACTAAATTTGTACTTTATGCTGTTTAAAATGAGCCCAAACTTACACTATCATGGCACCAAAGATCTGCACAGCTCCAGGGGAAGTGTTCAGCAATAGATGTAAAGCTTACACCTGAATAAGCCAAAGAAAGGTACAAACAACTTAATTTATATACATATTCAACAAGGAGTGTTTCTAACACTTGATTAAAGCCCCTATTATCTATTAAAAACCTTTGGTCTAATTTCTTAGACGTTTTGCCCTGCGGTAGAATTCCTGATCGTAAAACTCCTGCTTCTGCCTGGGCTCTGTCAAAAGTGGAACCATGGAGGTACAAAAAAACCTTAACACAACACAAAATCAATGTCCACATCCCCCATTTTAGTAGAAATAACAAAAACTCACTTTAGACCACTGACTGAGAACAGCCAAAAGATACTTCTCAAAAGCTTGTCCTGCTTCTTCTGGAGTTCTACTGGCTGTAAGATTGTTTAAAATGAGCCCAAACTTACACTATCATGGCACCAAAGATCTGCACAGCTCCAGGGGAAGTGTTCAGCAATAGATGTAAAGCTTACACCTGAATAAGCCAAAGAAAGGTACAAACAACTTAATTTATATACATATTCAACAAGGAGTGTTTCTAACACTTGATTAAAGCCCCTATTATCTATTAAAAACCTTTGGTCTAATTTCTTAGACGTTTTGCCCTGCGGTAGAATTCCTGATCGTAAAACTCCTGCTTCTGCCTGGGCTCTGTCAAAAGTGGAACCATGGAGGTACAAAAAAACCTTAACACAACACAAAATCAATGTCCACATCCCCCATTTTAGTAGAAATAACAAAAACTCACTTTAGACCACTGACTGAGAACAGCCAAAAGATACTTCTCAAAAGCTTGTCCTGCTTCTTCTGGAGTTCTACTGGCTGTAAGATTGTTTGAAGGAGCCAAAAACGCAAACCACATCAGGCTCCTGACTGACAAAAGCATCAAGGACCTCTAGAAAAAGGTCATCAGCACGTGCCCCTAGAGTCGCCAAGAAACCAAAATCCAAGTCCAGCAGACGAACAATGTTGTTTGCAAATTACCTCAAATGCCACGCCCCGATAAGTACAAACTACAAAACACAAAATATCATAATAATTAAGATTATATACATTTAAAATCAAAATATAACCCAATTAAAATATTTGTAAAATATTCTACTTACTTTCTTATCAACACTCCTTTTGGGGATGACAAGTTTATGTTTGTGCTGAGTAACCGTACCGTCGTCCCATTCATTAACCTGTCTGCGACCTGTACCATGAACTAATAGAAATAGAATATATGAAAATTAAAATACTCAACAGCAATAACATTCAGAGAAATACTCACGTGGAACAAAATCGACAGAAGGCATTTCATACGCACAGCTATTTCTAGTCCAAAACAGCTTAGCCCTACGACGGGCTGCCTCAGAAAGACGATGAGACTTTATTCTCAGCATCTGAAATTTAACAATAAAGCAATACGTGTCAGGCAAGTCATTTTACTCGGTGTTTAACAGTGGAAATTAAGAAACAAAAAAAGCCACATCCCTGTGGAAATGTTGGTCACAAGAGTGCACAAATATGATGTAAATATAGATAATGTTTACAGCTGAAATAAATCTAAATAATGATTGTTGAAATAATCATTAAAAACGTTGGATTAAAAAATGTTTCCATTTCTCAGTATTTTTTATCCAGAACTCCTTAAGTGAAAAAGCTTTTTTCACTTGGTGTAATTTTAGCAAAACTCATCTTTAAGGAAGGATCTTGCTAAATTTGCCTTTATCATAATACATAGAAAATATCTCTCAAAAGATCTTGCAAAATATGATTACAAGCACTTTGTGTAGAAACAATTAATTCAAACTAACAAAACAGCAGCTTACACACCAGCAAAGTCTAATCATATGGGTATTTGTCCAAAAAACATTTTAAAAATAAAATGTTTTATTCACTGCGACGTTTCTATAAATTAAAAGTGTTAATAAGAAAACCTTTTCAAATTGTCTAAAATACTGCACTGTTATATAAATACAGCATATATCTCCAGACCTGACCTGACCAAGATGCCGCATCCTTACATGTTCACATAAACAAAATCTTCTCGCAAAATAAAACAATCTTGCTGATTCAGTGAAAGGTAAATGTTCACCAATCCACCAATAACTTGCTGAACAATTTTTGTGTTTTTATATATTTTGTTTTTCTCTACATAGCATAACTTATAGTAATTTAAAACAGTATTAAACATTAAACAAATATGGGAATAAAAATTCCCAGTCAACTGAAACCTTTTTGCCTTGAGGCACCTCCATATTTGTATATTTGATGATGAACCTCAAAAGATCAGACATATTTAACATATGCACTGCATAGACAGATGCATTTTCAACACAGTTTAGTCTATCAGTGTATTTGAAAAACCTCTTGCAGTTAGAGCTCAACAATGCCATAGCACACCAATGATGCTGGATCCATAACTAGGAAATAGTATCCTACTAATATATGAAATGCTCAAATTAAGACAAGCTTTCAAGTATGATAAAAAAGCAAAAACTTCAACTCGCCCCAAAACTTTATTTCACAAAAACACTACAAAGAAATTTAAAAATTTAAAAATTAAAAAAATAAAGTCCGCAAATTAAGCACTCTTCACTTCCTCTTCAGGAACCTCTCCAACTTCCTCCAACATGGAACATACTTCCCCGTCTGATACTGTTTCAGGCAAAAAAAAAAAAAAAAACAAGACATTTCTTGTAAAAAAAAATATTACATATTATTAAATACTTACAAACTCTCTTCAAATTACAATAAACTACATACAAAAATATTATCACCTCTCCTACATTGGAGTAACACCATACATACCTTCACAAGTTATAGCCGATTCAGCCACCAAACATTGCATGTCAACTTTCATTTCTTGCATTGCAGATTCTTGTTGATGATGCTTAGTTGTCAAAAATTTCACTTTCTGCTCCAAAGCCTTTCTGTGCCGCTTTTTTTTATCCAGCAATTGGAAAAAGTCTTTGAAAGGCCTCACTGCATTTTAAATATGCTTCCTATCTCATCACAGCCATATCACTGCAAAGATACTTGAAAATAAAATAAAAAACAGTTAATACAAATCGAATAAAAATTATATATACATATGTGTATGTATGTTTTTAAAGAAAAAACAGAAAATAACAAATTTCAACTATCCATCCATCCATCCATCCATCCATCTTCCTCCGCTTATCCGGGGTCGGGTCGCGGGGGCAGCAGCTTAAGAAGGGAGGCCCAGACTTCCCTCTCCCCAGCCACTTCTTCTAGCTCTTCAGGAGGAACCCCAAGGCGTTCCCAGGCCAGCCGAGAAACATAGTCTCTCCAGCGTGTCCTGGGTCTTCCCCGGGGGCTCCCCCCGGTGGGACGTGCCCGGAACACCTCACCAGGGAGGCGTCCAGGAGGCATCCTAAACAGATGCCCAAGCCACCTCAACTGGCTCCTCTCGACGTGGAGGAGCAGCGGCTCTACTCCGAGTCCCTCCCGGATGACCGAGCTTCTCACCCTATCTCTAAGGGAGAGCCCAGCCACCCTACGGAGGAAACCCATTTCGGCCGCTTGTATCCGCGATCTCGTTCTTTCGGTCATGACCCAGAGTTCATGACCATAGATGAGGGTAGGAACGTAGATCGACCGGTAAATCGAGAGCTTCGCTTTTTGACTCAGCTCTCTCTTCACCACGACGGACCGGTACAGCGCCCGCTTCACGGCAGACGCTGCACCAATCCGCCTGTCGATCTCCCGCTCCCTTCTTCCCTCATTCGTGAACAAGATCCCAAGATACTTAAACTCCTCCACTTGGGGCAGGACACCCCAATTTCAACTATTACAATAAAATATTTGAAATTATTAGCATCAACTTTAACCATACACAAAAACAATACAAAGCTAAATAACAACCTGACAAGACTGCTTCACAGACTCCATTTTTTCACATTAGCAAACTTTGGGAACTTAGATGGTGAACTGTATGCCATGATCTTAAACAAAAGAAAACATACTTCCACAAATAATAGAATCAAAACTCAAGTAAATACAGAAGTATGAGGAAAAATAGTAATTTTTAAAACAGAAAACACTGAAAAGACACTCACCTCAATGATAAAATATATTTTGACCAAAAGAAAACAATAAAAACAGTTGAAAATCTGGGGAAAGCTTCAAAAACACAGAAGACTGTTTATCAGCACAGAACCACCAATGCTAATTTGCAAGACAAATATATATCTATTCCCTTCTTCTATGGAAATTGGCTGGCTAGAAACCAATAATCCATATTAGCACCACCTGCTGGTTCAGATTTAAACTGCGACTTATATTTACTTTAATGTGTATCATGGTACAAACCAAATCTATGGTCATATCAAAAAAATATTAATTTTACCAATTTATATTTCAACATTTAACATAAATTAAGAACAAGTTAAAATCAATGTGACTTCAAAAAAGACACAAAACAGATTAATTTACAAAATCACACAATTGATAACGATAGAATTGCAACAATATTCAAAACCAAAATTAGATAAAAAAGAAATTTGATTAGAAAATTTTACTTAAAAAAATGGTAAAATCTTGCTTTTAAAAACATGTTAATGTCACTTCAACAACCTTACCATATAAAGAGATTTAACGATTGTTATTTCTTTGAATTATTTAGGAAGCATCTCACCAACTCTGACTCTGATGGCCATGGCACAGAGAGAGAGAAGAAGTTGCTATTGGATTCATCCACTTAATCAGCAAAGACAACAGCAAGGGGATTACCATCACCTCATCCAGGAGTTGAGGCTACCCTCAGAAAGGCACTACCAGTACTTCAGAATGTCTGCTGAGAAGATGGATGAACTCCTGTCCATCATTGGTCCTGACCTCAGACGCCAGTGTACCACATACAGAGCAGCCATTGAACCAAAACAAAGACTAGCAGTCGGACTGAGGTAATTGTGGTAACATTTATTTAACACAACATGTAGTGATAGACATTGGAACTATACAAAACAAAAACAAAAAAAAACAGAAAGCAAATAATTATTATAATCAAACAATGTAATGGTGCTGTCCATCTAATCTGCAGAATCCGTTTTAGAGAGCATCCTTCTGAAAGGACTCACATAATGGGTAGTACTACCGGGGGGTGTTGGGCATTTTGAAGGGCGGGGGGTAAAGGAAACTGATGCCTGTCCAGCAGGCCACAGCTGCCTTGAAGGGATAATCACTGAGGAATATGATGGGGAGGGGGTTGGGGTTGCATTTCTGCAAACTCCCTGTGAACTGCATGAGGACAACAACACTAGTGGTGGGGGCAAGGGTGGTGTTGGCTGTTGACTCTGACTCTTCCAGACTGGACAAAGTCTCCAAAATGGTGACCTTGGCCTTCTGTCTGTTTGCACTACTGAGCCTTATAAGCATTGGCACAATGCTCAGTGCAAAATGATAAGACTCATCAGCCAGACTCACAGGTACATGGGGAGTCTGTGGCTCATTCAGGATGCTCAGCAGGCGATCAGCAATGTCTGGTTTTTTTGTGGCTCGTCCAGATGCATTGGGCTGTGATGTGGCCGGGGCTCTTGGGCTACGTGACCTTGAAGGCCTTTCTGTTATGCTCAACGCACACTGGCCTGAGGTGGATGCTGCTGAACTTGGCCTCTGTTTTTCAGTGCAGACATCTGTTGGTGGGGTAGGGTGGATGTCTGATTCCTGCCATGCAGCTGGTTGCAGCAGGTCCAAATTGCTCCTTGAACTGTTGGGGGTTCAAATTAAACAAAAGTTCATACACATCGATCCATCTCTCACTTTTTCCACACACACCCATGAGAAAATCAACAGAAGCAACATCATTGTATTACCTTCTGGACTGTATGTATGGGTCCAAGAATGCCATCAACTTGGCATATTTATGTTCCCTCACAGCCTCTGCTTTGGAGCCACTTGGGAGATTTGCAACCCTGTTTCGTGCCTTCACATAACCATCTCTCAGGGTTCTCCACTTGGCAATAACCCATTTCACTGCAAAAGAAACAAACATTTAGATTTGACTCAGCTTCTCTTTTTCTGTCTATACAGGTATTTGGCATCTGGAGATTCATTTGAGAGCCTTGCATTCAGCTATCGTCTTGGCGTGACAACTGTTCGTAACTCTGTCTACATGGTCTGCTCAGCCATTGAAAGAGTCATGATGGAGCAGTATTTGCCACCCCCAACAGAAGACGCATGGAGGGAAATTGCAAATGGTTTCTGGGAAAAATGGAACTTCCAATTGTTTAGGAGCACTTGATGGGAAGCATGTGCTGAAAGAAAAACCACCACGATCTGGAAGTCAGTACTTCAACTACAAAAAAAACATTCTCCATGATACTGATGGCATTGGTGGATGCAGTCTACAGATTTCGTGTCATCAGTGTGGGGAACCATGGGCGATCGAGTGATGGAGGCATTTATGCAGGATCAGCCTTGGGTATTGGCCTGCAGCGTGGTACCTTAAACGTGCCAGCCAATGAGCCTCTTCCTAGTGATGAAGCTGCAAACAGGATGCCCTATGTCATAGTAGCTGATGCTGCTTTTCCACTGAAGACATACCTGATGCGTCCATACCCTGCATCAAGCCTGAATCATCAGAGGAGAATATTCAAATACCGTTTGTCATGAGCTCGGATGGTAGTTCAAAATGCCTTTGGTATTCTGGCCTCAAGGTGGAGAATACTTCATTATAAGATCAACCTGCTTCCTCATAATGTGGACTCCGTGGTGATGGCAGCTTGCATCCACCACAACTTCCTGCTGAATAGAAGGGAGAACCAGCAGCTGCTGGATGAGGCTCAGGAGGAAGGACGTAGGATGCGACCTGTTGGCAATATGGCTGGAAGACGCACATCGGCTGAAGCCAGAGCTGTCAGGGACGCCTTCTGCACCTACTTCAACTCTCCAGGAAGGAGTGTTCCATGGCAGGATAGAATGGTGTGACACCTGCATCCTGCTGTGGATTAAATAGTCAAATAAAACACATTTAAGCCTCTGATCTGCTATGTTGTTCCTTGCATATATAATTACCTTTACTTCTGTACACTCAAGGTGGTTTGCCTCCAACACAATTATACACTGAACACATGGTGACAGAGCATTCATGTTCCTTGTGGTTTAGCTGACTCATATGGTTTCCAGGATTACCCTGTTATAATGATTGATAAAACCTGCATGTACCTTTGGGGGGAGAACACAGCCGAGTAGCAGGGCTGCCATTAATTAGTCACTTTTGCAACAGACCTGCAGGCCTGTCTTCAGGTTTCTCCCAAATTCCTCCCCCTTGCCCAAATTGCAGTAGGATACCATTCAACACACACACACACACCCCTTAAAATTACTACATTGGGGAATAAGTATTCTCACCTTTAAGAGTAAATTAATTGGATATTATGAAGTTTAAAGGAGAGTTTCCTTTATCTGCAATTAAAGTAAAATTTAAGTAAAATTGGCATGCAGTGCCAAGCAGCACAGCTTGCTTAGCTGATTTGTTTCTACATAGGAGCAAAATATGAGGCAATGGATGAATACAGGATTGACTGGTGTTCCACTGCTAGAATCAAAGTCTCCTCATCAATGTTTCTGTGAGAGTTGAGATGAGCTCCTGCAAATTTGATGCAGCTTTGCCAGCGTTTTTATACCTTTCAAAAGGTATTTCAATCATTCAATTATTCAATCATTAAGTAACACACTCCTATTTGGGAATGTTAAAAGTTACGTTATTGTATACAGTGATCTGTCGTTACTATATTTTAATTTGAAAAACCGGATGTTCTTGATGTTCTTTTTCCTCTTTGGTGCGATTGCAATTGCGGATCTTGACATGGCCGGACCGGAGCGGAGCAAAAATTAGCTCGGCTCTGTATTTTGTCGGTGACGGACGGAGAAGACGTACGTGAACGGAGCGTTTGTCTTTCATCGAAATCAATGAGAGCTGTTCCACATCCACTGCTACTCCTCCGCACGTCTCCGTCTACGTACGTCTTCTCCGTCCGTCACCGACAAATTAAATTAACATGCTGAGTTTGGGAGTAGAGAACAAGTTCATAAAAAAAAAAGCAGTATTGAATGATCCTTATCCCCGTTACAAAAACACATACACATATATATATATATATATATATATATACACTATATTGCCAAAAGTATTTGCTCACCCATCCAAATTATTGGAATCAGGTGTTCCAATCACTTCCATGGCCACAGGTGTATAAATTCAAGCACCTAGGCATGCAGACTGTTTTTACAAACATTTGTGAAAGAATGGGTCGCTCTCAGGAGCTCAGTGAATTCCAGCGTGGAACTGTGATAGGATGCCACCTGTGCAACAAATCCAGTCGTGAAATTTCCTCGCTCCTAAATATTCCACAGTCAACTGTCAGCTGTATTATAAGAAAATGGAAGTGTTTGGGAACGACAGCAACTCAGCCACGAAGTGGTAGGCCACGTAAACTGACGGAGCGGGGTCAGCGGATGCTGACGCGCATAGTGCGAAGAGGTCGCCAACTTTCTGCAGAGTCAATCACTACAGACCTCCAAACTTCATGTAGCTCAAGAACAGTGCGCAGAGAGCTTCATGGAATGGGTTTCCATGGGCGAGCAGCTGCATCCAAGCCATACATCACCAAGTGCAATGCAAAGCGTCGGATGCGGTGGTGTAAAGCACGCCGCCACTGGACTCTAGAGCAGTGGAGACGCGTTCTCTGGAGTGACGAATCGCGCTTCTCCATCTGGCAATCTGATGGACGGGTCTGGGTTTGGCGGTTGCCAGGAGAACGGTACTTGTCTGACTGCATTGTGCCAAGTGTAAAGTTTGGTGGAGGGGGGATTATGGTGTGGGGTTGTTTTTCAGGAGCTGGGCTTGGCCCCTTAGTTCCAGTGAAAGGAACTCTGAATGCTTCAGCATACCAAGACATTTTGGATAATTCCATGCTCCCAACTTTGTGGGAACAGTTTGGAGCTGGCCCCTTCCTCTTCCAACATGACTGTGCACCAGTGCACAAAGCAAGGTCCATAAAGACATGGATGACAGAGTCTGGTGTGGATGAACTTGACTGGCCTGCACAGAGTCCTGACCTCAACCCGATAGAACACCTTTGGGATGAATTAGAGCGGAGACTGAGAGCCAGGCCTTCTCGTCCAACATCAGTGTGCGACCTCACAAATGCGCTTCTGGAAGAATGGTCAAAAATTCCCATAAACACACTCCTAAACCTTGTGGACAGCCTTCCCAGAAGAGTTGAAGCTGTTCTAGCTGCAAAGGGTGGACCGACGTCATATTGAACCCTATGGATTAGGAACGGGATGTCACTTAAGCTCATATGTGAGTCAAGGCAGGTGAGCAAATACTTTTGGCAATATAGTGTATATACATATATATATATATATATATATATATATATATATTTGGGCAGAAAACTGAACATATGATGGTGGGATTTTTTTAATATGCCATATTAAATTAAGCGCTCACAGGGTTCATACAGGAATGAGTGACTCTAATTTAATGCTATTTTAATGCTATTAGAAATTATTTTAATGCCATCAACAAGAACCAGGTACACAAGTTATTAGTGTACATGAAATATGAAGGAACTGTAAGCACAGTTCCATGACTCTTGTATGTATGTAAACACACACACACACACACACACACACACACACATATATACGTATATATATATTCTCTAGCTTTTTCTCCGCCTCGAGCTTCCTTTCCGAACATACGGCTTTATGATCAGTTTCACGCAAATTAATAGCGATATAATATATCGGACGAAATTGTTGTTATAAGCATTTTTTATTAAAGAATTATAAATACTTCGATAAACATATTTAAATAATTTTAGTGCCAATTAAGGCATTGATTTAAAGAAAAAATGAATGAATTGTAATTATTTTTAATGATCCGCGGAAACCCTGGTTCATCTCGTGCATGCCCTCTACAATCTCCAAGAAACTCAGAGCGGACCACAGCGGCGGCTGTAGGCTTTGCTTTGCGCAGGCGGTCTGGAGCGCTGATGGAGTATGTGGGATTTCAGCGTAAGTCTCCAGTTTGAGAAACAGACGCCTCACAGGTCCCCAGCTGGCATCTTCATTAAATAATACCCGCAGTCCTCTGAAGGGCAGCACATACAGCACATACAACAATAACTTACCCAACAAACAGTGACTCCTGAATTAAGGACACACCTGGAGTCTTGGGTCTAGTCCATTGAATGTGTGTCATCAAAATGCATGTAATCTTATCATAGCTGTAACAATATATATTTGCTTATTATATCTGCTGCTATTTTGAACAAACATTAATGAATGTATTAATATTAAACCTTTTTTGGACAACCCAAAGAAAAAAATTAAACCTACTGTTAACCTCTCTTCTAAACCATTCATTTAGTGTATCTCATGTTTAATCTACAATTAATTTTATTTATTTATTTATTTTATTTTTTTTTTACAGTGTCCTGTCTGGCAAGGTGGCAATAAGAATAATTGTCTTGATGCCAAAAGGAGCCCAACAGATTTTACTTTCACAAGTGTAGCGGTATCGCAATTGCCATACTGCTCCACTTGTTTCATGTATATAAATTGCTTTATTATAATTATGCAGGGAGTTTTACAGTTCATATGGACACTGCAATGTAAGTAGAGCAGAAAAACAGAAGAAGAAGGAAAAAGAAAAAAACAGGACAATAGATGAAAGAAAGAGGAGATAGGAAGGAGACAATGACAAAACATTTTCAGTCTGCTTCAACACCTGTAATGAGATGGAAAGAAAGAGAAAAAAAAAAAAAAAAAAAAAAAAAAAAACAGCACAACCAAAAAACATGGTACGAGATATACAATAAAGCAAACACCTTGAAACTATCGCTAAAGTAATATTAAGTCTGACATGTACTCTGTGTTACCTGAAGATATGAATGTGGGGTTTCTGTTTGGAAGTGAATCTCTAAGTACCTGAAGCCTAGCACCTGTAGTTGTTTGTGAGGGTGAACTTGTGCATGTAAAGTTTTAACCATAGAAAAAAATGCTCAATAGTGGTTGTGGAGAGCCGGAGAGGCACACCCCCCAGAGCACTGAGTCCAGCGCCGGGAGACCCAAAGCCCCAGGCGCCCAAGGGGACCCCAGAAGCGAAGGCACCAAGGCGGGGCCAGCCCCGGAAACCAGACCCCACCAAGGCAGGAGGAGAGACAGC